AAAGTAGTTGCTAGTTTCGTCTTCATGTTAAACTTTATGAAGTCAGATTTTTTGTAAGGGTAAAATCGTTTTCTAATAAGTAAGCCAGTATGTCAATCATGAAATAAAGTTGTAAACAAGAAAAATGAATGAAGATCTTTAAGTATGAATAATTTTGTTTTTATCTAGGGATGCACCTAAATTAGATATTAAGAATAATTAAAATAGTTCTTAATTTCACTTTTAAAATGTGCATATTTACACTGCAAGTCTCTAGTGCAAAATTGTTTTCTACAAATAAAATTGTTTCTTTCTATCTAGAGAATATACCTAAAATTAGATTATAAAAAATAATTTAAGTTTTAATCTCAGTTTTAAAATGTGTAAATTTTCAAAACTGCAAGTCATTTTTTTAAACCCAAAGTAAAAATTATTCTTTTTTGACCACTAGTCAGTGTCAGACAGTAGTTTCAATATTTTATACATTTATCATTTATTACTATCAGTTGCTTTTTTTTTCTTTCTTTTTTTTAACTTAATGTAATTTTTGAAGGAATTCGCTTCCTTGGGTCAGAGGAGAAATGAACATCTTCCTGGTTGTAGTTTAAAGTGTCTTCTAATTGAGTGTACAATTTCAAGAATATTGCTAAGGATTGTACAGTATTTACATTATTCAAACTATTGTCCTCATCTTTGTCGCCATATTTGTCACAACGTTTCGGCCATTGTACGCTCCAGCCTTCTTCAGGTGGTTGGAATTTCGAACTGAATCCTCAAGGACACATGGCACAGTGGATAAAGGCGTTGGTTAGATCCAGTGACAGACCCAAAGAAGGTGAGTTCAATACTTGGTTAAGGCAGTGGAGAACTTTCAGAGGGAAAATTAGCAGGAGATAACTGATAACTGACATCCATCAAACATGGCACGTGAAACTAGAACAGTCTACCCCAGTGATCGAAATAAAGGGTTCAGTTCGAAATTCCAACCACCTGAAGAAGGCCAGAGCGTACAACAGGCGAAACGTTGTGACAAATATGGTGACAAAGATGAGGGCAATAGTCTGACTAATGTAAATACTGTACATAATACCTCATCTCAGAAATATAGACAGACTCTGCTAAGGATTGGTCACTTTTATTTTACGAAACAAAGTAACATGTAAAATTTAGTCTCAGAAAAAAAATCATATTTTGCATTTTCGGCTGTTCAAAGCAAAATACCATTTTAACTTGCTGTAAAAAATAATTCAATGAAAAAGCACATACAAATTACATATTTAGAAAAATTATATTCTTTCCAGCCATATGAATATTTTAAGATTGGGCCAGAAATACAAAAGGTATTGTGAGTTGAACAGACTAAGTTGCAAATTTATCAACCTCAAACAAAATCATATATCGACTGGAAGTGTTATCAAGAAAATCAATGGCTTCCTTAGAAAGCAAAATACTAAATTAAAAACTGAAAAACCAAATCAAAGGTATCAAGGAAAAAAAAACAGAAACAGACACTGAAACATAAATTGCCAAACTGACCAACTCTAACTTGCATGGCAATGACTCTCTGATCCTTCATAGAGTATATCAGCATTCTGCGAACATACTTAAGAAATCTTTTTATTCAAAAATTTATAAAAAATTAGAAAATTATCAAAATCTCTAAACCAATGACAATGCAATATTTAGAATAAAAATTAATGACAATTCTGTAATTAAACACAAGGAAAACATTATCTAATCAATGAATAAGGAGATACAAACTTAAAATATTAAGTGTGTGTGGTCTCACCTAAAATGAAAAGAACATTTTGTTCAGAAGAAGAGATGGTCTCAACCTGTTGTTAGTGAATTTATGTGACGAGAGCAAATAAAAGAAAAGCCCAAAAAATGTATTTTTTCAAAATTTATAATCACAGTTACTCATTGTTATGTGTTTATTTAAATTTTCTTGTTCACAGACATTTTTATAAATTTATGGATATAAAAATTTTTCATATTTATTTCTTTGTAAAATGGTAAATAATAAATATTTCTTTATAGCTGATTCACATATTTTTTATAATCTTGTTGTAAATATAAAATTATCTTTGTAAATAAGCAATCTAAGAAATGAACAGTGTTTATCAAAAATAATGAAAATGTATAAATTCACTTTCATATGTTTGGAGTTTATTAAAATTCTAATCATCACTTTTTAAAACAATAAATATTGATGATGGAATCAAAAAACATGAAGGTTAAACAGGAGAACGAGAAAGAATGTCAAAGCTCTTATCCTGAGTATTATGAAAGATCCAAATGAAAAAAAAACATAAGACTCTTACTTCAATGTGAAACTTGAAAGAAATTTACATTTATTAAATGATATAAAAAATAATATTAATACAGAATATAAAATTTACAAACAAACTTGCACAAAATTTTCCTTTGTGCACCTAAGACAGACAATATAAGAAATTGTAATCACAATTCTGTTTGACTCATAAAAACAATTATAATTATTATCGACAATATGATCCCTTACTACAATTCAGAAGAATAGAAAAGAGAGGAGTTGAGAAGGGCAGCAATCCCCAGGTATTGCTAGGTTTCTGTTAGATAATAGCTCAATTTTACAAACTGAAATTAAAAAATAAGGTAAATATATTTTCTTCAAAAGTTGAAAATTGGGGTTAATACATCTCATTTTGTGACAAACTCTTACAAATAACTATAGAAAGATAATCATAAATGTCTCTAAATTTGTAGATTTTCTTCTTTTCTTTTTTTCTTTTTTTCTTCTGTTACTTCCTTTTCTCATCTTCTTTCTTTCCATAATTGTCATTCAGATTTTAGTTTTTTTTTTGCTCAGATTCCAGTGTAAGAAATTCTGTTGTCCAGGTTTTTTATATTAAAAATTTAAACATCCAAATTCCAAACAATAACAAAAATAAAAATAAAGAAAACATGGGTATGCCTGTAAACTGAAACATTTGCATTTACAAACATATATACATGAATTCAAAAGAATAAAAAAGCTGTAAAAATAGCCTTTAGTTGAGTTAAAGTTTTGGGGTTAGTTGGTCCACAGTAAAAGTTATGGTTTGGAAAAGACTTTTAGTAGTTGGTCCACAATAAAAGGATGTGGTTGAGAAAAAACTTTTGAGTAGTTGGTTCACAGTCATAACTGTAGTTGAAGTTGCCAACACAGTTTTTTCAGCACATGATAGGGGAGAAGGAAAAAGCTATGTAGCCAGATCTTCTCATATGTTTAAATGGCATAGAGAGAGTGGCATCTCTGATCCTAAAAGTTGAAATCTATGGGTTTTTATAAGAAATATTTCCTGAAAATAGGCTCGAGAAAAATAGAAAAAAAAATGGTGTGTTGTATCATGGAATCTTTTTGACATGTTTACAAATATTGTCTGCTATTGAGTAGAAATAAAATTTGGGCATGTTTTAATACAGCATGTATGTGGGGTATGTAATTCTGTTGAAAATAGTTTATTTCCTATACCAGAACCAGCCAATATTTTCCTTGTGAATGCTGAAACTCTTGTTTTCTTTTTTCTTTATCATTTCTTCATCTAAGTCCATGTTCCAGAACAAGTTAACATCCTTTCATCTATGAAACCCTTCTGCTTTCTTTTTCTTCTTCTTCATCTAAATTCAGTTCCCAGTAGCTACCAACAACTTTCACCTGTGAAAGCCAAATCCCTTCTCTGTCAGGCAAATACCGACAAATTGTTTCCATATTCAATCAGAAATTTAATATTATGGAGTTGTAACTTATTTTTCCCATTGGTTAAAAGGTTACAAAATGTATCTCTTTAAGCAACACCTGTTTGCAAACTTTATTTAGGCAGGTTTTGAGACCATAAGACTTGAGGCTTTTTTTTGTTTTGAAAACCATGTATCTTTTTTATAAACTGTCAGGCTTTATTTAAGCAGTTCTTTTACATCAATTTGAGTCTCACATATACAAAGTTTTACACATCAACTTTCTTTTTTTACTAACCATCTGGGTTCATTTTAGCTGTTTTTTATTTAAAAGATGTGTCACAAACTTATTTCTATTAATAAATGATTTTGTAAAACACTCCTCAAAAGAAAATGTAATAAATAATCCTAGTCTATTATATTAGTTTCTTATTTACCCTTTAATTATTTTTATATGATTTTACATTTCTTTTTTATTATATAATTTTGTATATTATAGCTAAACAGAAAACCATTGGAATTCAGACACTTTTAAATTAAAACATACTTTATATATCTTGTAGATGTGCTAAATATATATAGCACAGAAACCAATTAAATTCCAACTAAAATAGATCAAATTATGAACCTATTATTAACTCTCTAACACCAGACCTTTTTATCATAGCGTTTTAACCCTTCTTTACAAGGATCAACCTATTTTTTCATCTTCAGAAGTAAAACCATGTCCATTTGAGAATACTTTTGCATTTATCTTATTAAAGTAATTTATCAGCCTAATTTTAAAATAATTCTAATTAAATATCTTCATAAAATTTTATGAAAAATAAATAATTTATTTCTAAGTTGTGAATTATGTATTCATATAGAGCCCAAGAAAGGGACAGAAAAGATAGATAATATTTTGATAGATAACACAATGAAAAATAAATTGTTTAATTAATCAACAATTAATAAACAATTCATCATAGAGAATACATAATTTTACTAAATATAAGAATGAACTAAAGAACGACTATCATTTATAACATTTCAGAAAAGCAAAAGGTGATGATTGCAAATAATTTGCTAATTCAAATTATTTTCCACTTTTAAGAAAAAATTGAATAAAGGGAAATAATCTTAAATGTTAGAGGAGGCAATCATCCCACACCTTACATTTCCTCCCACCCAGTCAATAGTTGTTACCTCCTACCGGTGCCCTTCTCTGTCTTTACAGCAGTCAATGTGCAAGCTCTTCATTTAAGAACGAGGGAAGTGTGTTTAGTGGTGCTGTGTGTAGCGGCCACCGCTTTCACTGCCTCAAAAAAAAAGTAAAAAAAATGACGACCAGACATGATAAAGAGCGCCAGAGAGCGGCACAGGAGAAATACCAAGCTGTTCTTTCACAGCTACTCAAGGACGAAGACAACAAATACTGCGTTGATTGCGATGCAAAAGGTTAGAAAATAAAGAGACACATGAAATGTTTGTGTATTGTAATATCTGTCATTAAGCCTTCTTCTGTCCTTTCGGTTCCGTATTTTACGTATACGCCCACTTTTAGGCATTCCTTTTATTTGCTTGTTTTTATTATTAATATCAAATGATAAAATTGGCACATGTATATATTTGTTGTTTTTATTTTTCTGTGTCCCCTCAATGCTCGGATGCAAATACTGATGTGATCCGAGTTTGCTAAATGTCTAATGGATTTACATTTCATGCTACGGATGATCGTGAGTGACATTTTTACGTGAAAAACTTAAACTTTACTATGGTCTATATAATTATGTTATTTTTCATTTAGTTCTTGGAGAAATTCTTCTCAATTCATTTGCAATCTAAATGCACAATGTATTTTTCTGTGTATTTACTACAATAAGTGCATACATCAAGTTTTCAGTTTCTAGTCATCCGTAGTATCAAAAACTGATCGTTTAAGCTTTCTGATATTACTGTTTAAAGAAAGGGGTTTATCATGTTGAATGAAGATGTTTCTTTTATTTGAATTAAATTATAAGAAAACTAACTTTTTAGATGATTACTCCAATTCACAGTTAACTTTATTTTTGTCGATACCATTTTTTCCTTTTGCTACTCATTTTCTCTTCTCCCTTTTCCCGGTGTTGCCACGTCTGTCTGTCTGGTTTTGTAAAAATAATGCGTTTAGGGCTTCTACACGCACATAACCCTTTAAAAATTAAATAAAATAAAAGAATAATCTAAATTTTAAAATTTAGATGTGTACTACATCTATATAAAACTTATCGAAAATCTTATGCGCTTCCTTAAATGCAGGAATTATTTAAATTTTAAAATAGCATGTGTGATCATCGTGTCTCTACGTGATTTACAGAGGATGTTCTCTCTCTACCGCCAGTTACTTTCTGACGATAATCATTTCATATCTGATCATTTTAACGTTTCTATGTTGGTTTGTAATTATTTATTTTAAGATTAAAAAATTAAATACCCATTTTTTTTTTTTTTTTTTTTTTTTTTTTAGTAATCAATAAACACGTTACGGTTAAATATTTTCTTACTTTCATGGTTGTTACACGTTACGTACACCTGTCATTTTGTTGATTCATTGATGGTTTATTTTATCTCCTTGAATTCTTAGGGTACTTCACAAGAAGAAAAAAACTTTCTATTTTTTAAATACTACGACCATTTATAAATCACAGAAAAATAAAATGAATCTTTTAAAGATTCATTCGTTTAGTTACACCTTATTAAAATATTTTAAAATACTGTCTTTTCTTTGTCAATTCACCTGGATGAGTTTATCACCCTCCCCTCTTTACTTTTTTTTTTTTTTTTTTTTTATCAGTTTTAATCATTTATTTATTTGACTGTTCCGAATGTTCAAGTATTAAACTTGGAGTGACACTATTGAACACTGACGAACTGATAAAAACTCCAAAAGTTTCAAAAGGCGAATCTTTTTTTTTTTTTTTTTTTTTCACTTAGTTGAATGGAAAGCCTGAAATTAGTAAAATATTTACCAATCAGTTTTTTACTTTACGATTCCAATCAAATAAAAAGTAATCATTTAAAATAAACTAAATCAGTGAAACAATTTAAAAGATTGCATCAAATTAAATAAGTTTTTATTTTTTTTTAATACTCTTTTAAAAGGTAATTAAAAAATAACTTAAAATTAGTTTAAAACTTTAACAACTAAATAAAAAATCGAATTTTTAATTATTTTGAATTCCCAGTTGTCAGTTCTTAAATCGTTTTTAGTTAGAGACTAGAATTGAACTTATTCTCATTCATAAATGATATAAATATTTTGTCAAAAGTCATTGGCATATTAATTTTATGTTGACTTGAATTTTGAAGTTATTTTTTTAGTTTTTTTTACTTAGTAAAATGACGCAAAAGAAGAGTTAATTGTTTCCGATTACCCATGCACGAAATAAGAAATACATTCGTTGATCTTTTCTTAAACTAAACACGAACTTTACTTGAGAAATGAATAACATAAGTTAAGTCTGTATCTGACTTTTACTTTAAGAAAAACTGTCTTTTTCATTTAGTGTTTTAGTTAGTATTTGTGAATAAATTTTGGACTTAGCGCTAACAACAGCTAACTGTAAGAAGTTTATTTCTCTCTAGTCTCTACGTACATGCTTGTACCTTCTACATTTTCTTGCCTTCACAAAAAGGCCACATGATCTGGCTTATTTTTGGTCAATAGTTTTTTTTTTTTTTTTTTTTTTTTTTTGGCCTCATGATGATATGTGAACTGTGATACTGTTATGATTGAAATGAAATGTCATGTATTAAATTTACGAACATGCCTGCCTCGTTAAATAAATTTATAGCAGTAATTCATAAAGAGCGACAGAAAAGTTATGGAGATGATTACGATTACTGCCATTATCTCAAGTTTAAATTAAAATGTGATTGCCTATAAAAAAAAAAAATTTTTAAAAGTAAACCGTAAAAACATTGCTAGTAAATCGAATTTGATTTAATTTCCTTTTTAGTTCTACTCAGCGCAATTTGTTTTAATCGCTGAGTGAATAAATTCAAAAATTGACAATCCTGTTAACTGAACAGATAAAAAATCTTAAAATTTCACTTTAAGTGTTTAGTTTTCTGAATTATTTTTAGCACTTTTCTTTTTACCCTTTTGTATTCAGTTGTTTGTTGTTGTTTTTTCTAGATTTTACACATCTATAAAAAAAAGACAACAGGTGTGATAATTATTATTTAAAGGAAATATGTACTTTAACTTACAGTAATGAATAACAAACTATCTTTACTTTACTTTCCTCAACACTTAGTTTTACTTTTTTGTCTTTTTAGCTTCCCCTTTTTTTTGCGTTACGCCTTAGGATTGTTTTAATATATTGTTTATTTTTATTGCTTGTTAATGTTAAATAAATTTTCATAAATTTCCATGCCAAGTCGAAAATGCTAATACACTCAAATAATCAAAAGAAAAATTTGTTCCGGCCCAGGTACATTTTTATTTTAGCTAGAGAATAGAGTAGGGACATTTTAAAAAAATAGTTATTTCCTAATAATTTGGCATTTTTCTTTGGAAAGATGAAGTAACAACAGATCAGTGTTAAACGAGTTGGATTAATGTTTATTTAATTGGATGAAAACACTTTTTTTTGTTGTTCTGGTACAGGTGCATACTCTCTAGTCCACTTGAAAGATTTTTTGAGTAATTGCAACTGATCTGTTTTACATTGAACAAAATTTTAAAAAAGTCATGCTCATGCATGCATAAAAAAAAAATGGTGTTTTGATGAAGAAAGGAAGGAGCTGATGATATCAAGATAAGACAATAAATTTATCACTGCAGTGCTTCATAAAATTTAACACCTAATTGTTGCATATGAATTTTTTTTTTTTGCACTTTTATGAAAAAATATATTAACGCTTTAAGTTTTATTTTGTCCGTTTTTATCATAATGATTTTTTTTTCATATAATTGAGCATGCTTTATTTCCTTTTATTTTGATTTGGTACCTTTTTAAAAAAAAAAAAAAAAATTAAAAAAAACTAATATGCAGTTCAAAGGAGTTCATCAGATGAACGAAAGTAATCTTTGTTATATTTGTGCAGCGCTTTAATTTTTGAATATGTTGAAAATGTAACTTATTTTTATTTATTTATTTTCATAACTAAATTTGAAGAGTTAAACAGTAATCACCATTTTCATCCTAAGTTTCTAAGTATGGACAAAAAATCTACTTGATAAATTTACACTTGCAGTTTTGTTTAAACATATTGCTAATTATAGAAATCTTGGAAGCTGCCACTAGCTTATTTAGATAATTGTGTAAAAAGACTTTAAATATCCAATACAGATGCCTGATATTAAAAATTAATTGGATCAACTATTTTTATTCTCTACTCTAACATTATAATTTAAGAAAGAATAGTTTATAGCTTTTTTTCCTTTTAGACAAAAAAATGTATCATTGTAATTCTGAAATTTATTTCTATTAGTGTCCTTTTTATGCCTTTTTTATTTTAATAATATAGATTAATTTATTGTATGGTAATGTAACAATAAAACTAGCAATACAGTTGATTAAATTAACATTCATTTTTGGCTGATGTGAAGTGGAAATAAAGCACTGCTTCACTTTAAATTCTGTAGCCTTTTTTTTTTTTTTTTTTTTTTTTTTTAAATGGTTCTCAAGTCTTATAAAATGCAAATTCTTCATGTCTTTCTGATCATCTATTATATATTCACACTTGCAGTTTCACTTTTCTCACTGGTCAAATTCAGATGTACAAAATAGAGGTATTGTTGACTAATTTCAGTAAAACATTTTATATTTAAGCTGGTATTTTTTCTTTTCCAGTTGCTATTCATAAATTACAAATAGTCTTATCCCAGAGTTTGTTTTGTTCTTATCAGCCTGTGAAAGTCCTTTATTGGATATACGTAGGCCTTTCCAAAATCTTTCTCTTTTCTATTCATGGGGAGGAATAGGCCATTACTTTTCTGTGCTGGTCCAATGTATGTTGATAGATCCTTACAGCACCTGGCATACCTAAGCAGTCACCCATAAAGCTGAATGCTTTGCCAGTAAATTCTCCTCAAACTCTACCCTTGACTCATCTAGAGTATCCCTGCCTAACTTCCCACTTAGAACTGAACCTCTGTTGAGTGATATGCATATAACCTCTTCCATGTTTCTGCAATCAGCACTAACCTAGATCCCCACAAAGCATGTGAATCCGATGGTATCCCTGTAATCTTACTTATTATAAAACGCAGATTGTGTGTGTCTGTACGTTTATATATTGGATCGGATTTCCTACGTTTTTCAACCGATTTCAACAAAACTTTACACAGGACTACATAAAATTACCTTGCGGTGGTTCTGACAGTGCCAAAAATTGGAAAAACACAATTGTTTTTGCACGAAATCAATTTGAAAACACGATTACGAGGCATCACGAGAATGAAAGTGGGA